AGTCGCCTATTTTAAATTAGGAATAAGTACTACGGGAACGACGTCTGGAACCAAGCATCGGGGGAACCTGGTGTGGACGTCTGGGATCGGATTCGTAATGGCAGTCATGTATATGACGAAAGTGGTAAATGATCGCTTGCTGATCAGGCGAAGGTTAACGGTGAGTATTCTCCTGGGAACACAGCCACTCTGCCGGTGGGAGTATACCACCTTGCGGTTGCTTAAACCATATTAAGTAGCGGGTTGCATAGTTCCGCGGCCTTACCAGTGGTCAGTAGAGAGATTTGATACATCTTGAAACCAAACTGGAAGTCATTTGAAAACCCATGTTTAAGGCGAGGGGCGTAAAAACTCCTCTTCTGAGACTGGTGGACGGCCTTAAAACTGTCCTCATCTGACGATGCCCGATACTTTTCTCGAAAAGTATCTGGTGCCTCTGCCTGAAAGGGGACGAGTCTAGGCTCATATACCTTTCCCGCGGAGTGTAGGACTCTGTCCAAATTCGGAACTTCAGTACCAAGACATATTTCATTTAAAAGGGGATATACTAACACATACAGATACTTAAACACATAAAATTAATTTACCAGCCAATTAACCACCTATTTATAAGAGACCGTATAGATTACCACATTCACAAATGGAGGAAATAAATAAACAAATAAAACAAATGAAAAATGACGATATCATTGAACCATCTTTTTCACCTTGGAATGCACCATTATTACTAGTCAAAAAGAAACTTGACGCGAGTCAAGAGGAGAAATTTAGAATATTTGTAGATTTTAGGGCATTAAATAAAGTAACAATAAATGAATATCACCCTTTACCTAACATAACCGAAATATTAGATCAGCTAGGACAATGTAATTTATTTAGCATACTAGATCTTGCATCCGGGTTCTATCAAATAAAACTCGACGAGTCTAGCAAAGAGTTCACTGCATTTTCAACAAACCAAGGGCATTGGCATTTTACAAAAATGGCTATGGGTCTTAAAACATCACCGTCTACATTTCAACGGTTAATGAATAGTGTAATGGCAGGTATAATAGGAATTAAATGTTTGGTATATTTAGATGATATAATAATATATGGGAAAAATTTAAGCGATCATAATAATAAATTACGCGACGTATTCGAACGACTACAAAAACATAATTTAAAAATACAACCGGATAAATGCGAATTTTTAAAACAAGAATGTTTATTGTTTATACTTAGGGCACATTATTAGTGAAAGTGGAATAAAACCAGATCCAAATAAAATTAAGTCAGTATTAGAATTTCCGGTACCTACAAATGTGAAAGAAATAAAATCATTTTTAGGACTTTCGGGGTATTATAAAAAATTTATAAAATCTTACAGTCTTATAGCAAAGCTGATAACAAATTTATTAAAAAAGGGTGTACAATTTAATTGGAAAACGAAATGTCAAGAAGCATTTGATAAATTAAAAACAATACTTTGTTCCGAACCGTTATTACAATATCCAAATTTTACAAAACCGTTTATAGTTACTACGGACGTGAGCGGAAAAGCTTTAGGCACTATATTATCGCAAAGGGAAATACCATCAGATCTACCTATTGCATACGCATCTAGAACTTTAAATAAAAGCGAACATAATTAAAATACAACCGAACTCGAATGTTTAGCAATAATATTTGCAGTAAAAATATTTAGACCATATTTATACGGTAGGAAATTTGTCATATTAAGCGATCACCGTGCATTGTCGTGGTTATTCAATTTAAAAGATCCATTGTCTAAACTCGCTCGATGGCGAATACTGTTAGAAGAATATGATTATGAAATTAAATATAAACCGGGAGTTCAAAATGCAAATGTAGACGCGCTATCTAGAATGTACACTGTAGACGAAATAAAAAGTGAAAGCTATCCAGTATTTTTGAATAAATTCGAATCACAAGTAATAACAAATAAAAATGTACGAGAGGTAAACGGTAAATTAGTAGAAGCACCCGAGGAGTATCACATCGTGTCAGAAATAGCTAAAAATTATAACTTTATGTCAGGAATAAATTACGAACTAAAACAGAAATTCGGTGGAAATCAGATATTAACGCCCAGTAAACATGTAGGGGCCGTGAATTACATAAAACATAACAATAGGAACATAATTTTCTTAACAACAAAAAATAAAAATAACCAAAAGACCACGTACGAAAACGTGTATTTATCATTATTAAATCTGAAAACACTCTGTGAGGAACTGTCATTGAATAAATTAGCAATGAATAAATTAAGATTTAAGGACAGGCTCGAATGGGCACAGGTACGCGCCATGATTCGATATGTATTTCGGAATACAAATGTAGAGATAATCATATGTTCAAAATTTGAGTTTAGTGAGGAGGAAAAATTAATTATATTCAACCAATGTCACGATTCAGTGATTGGGGACATACAGATATACACCGGACAATAAAAAAGATAAAGACACAATTTAACTGGAAGGGTTTAAAAGAGGACGTAATAAAATATGTTAAGAATTGTGAATCTTGTCAAAAGAGTAAAGTCACAAATAAAAAAATAAAACAACCCATGCTTATCACATCAACAAGTTCAGAGCCATTCGAAAAAATATTTTTAGACATAGTTGGCTCATTGGTCCCTACATTATCGGGAAATACATACATATTAACTTTACAAGACAATTTAACAAAATATTCTATGGGGATACCATTACCAAATCACCAAGCTAACACAGTCGCAGAAGCGTTCGTAACGCATTTAGTATGTATGCATGGCATACCCACGACAATATTAACCGACCAAGGTACCGATTTCTTAAGTAAAATATTCACAGAAGTATGTAAATTATTACAAATTAATAAAATAAATACTAGTCCATTCCACCCGCAAACGAACGGTAGTTTAGAAAGATCACACAGAACATTAACTGAATATTTAAGACATTATGTAGATAAATAATGCATTTTTCGTTTATAATTCCACTGAATACACATCGACAAGATATCAGCCTTATTCACTATTATATGGGAAACCATTAGAAATACCAATTAAACTATCTCACGATCCTGAACCGAGATATAACTATGATCATTATTATTACGATCTAAAACAAAAGATGCAGGAAGCGCATAAAATAGCTAAAGAAACATTAATTAAAAATAAAATTAAATCTAAACAAAATTATGATAATAATGAAAACCCGATTGATGTACACGTGAAAGATAAAATATTATTAAGAGATAAGACACAGAAAAATAAGTTAAACCCGTTATGGATAGGTCCATTTGAAGTGACAGATTTATTAGATAAAGAAAATATAGTAATATTAAGAGGTAAAAGGCATGTTACCGTACATAAGAATAATGTGAAAATATATCATGAAAGTGTTAAGTAAATTAACTAAGTTAATGAGAGTAAGAAAATAAGGATATTATAAGTAAAAAGGACAATAAATAGTTATAAGTAATTAAGTAAAAATAGTATGAAGTTATCGTAGGTAATAAGAAAAAATAAATTAAAATTTTAGGTTTATAACGATATATGTCATATTTCAAGCGGCATGGGCTCAACCAATGCCATACCAAATTACCAGACTTACTCAGAAAAAACGGAATGTACTTTGAAAACCAAGGAGCACTACGACTAACTCCGACTGGAAACTATTATTTTATGTAAAACTCAACAACTTTAACGAACGAACAAAAAAAACTATTAACTTTTATAACAGAACTATAAATTTATGTAACGACTTAACCGGCGGTTCCGAGTTGCGTGCGAAAATCGTTTTCTGGGTCGAATTGCGTGCGTGGTTTTTTCATAACAAGGTTGAGTTGCGTGCGCGGTTTTTTGTGACAGAGCCGAGTTGCGTGCAAGATACAGTGTTGATGCCACACGGTGTGCCAGATTCATTTATACTAAATAATAAAAGAATACATTTACTCTTCGAATCAGTGGCGTAGCGAACCATGTTTTTCAGAAGCGATTGCTTCTGGTTTTTTGGGGGGTGGTGGTGGGTCATACCTCATGACCTCATAAAGCCCACACACACGGTTAGTCTTGAATGAAAATAATGAAAATATAAATAAAGAAATTATTATGTGCTTATTATCTATATGCTTGCATTGTAATAATATTATGATTTATATCATTAATTCACGAATATAAAATAATAATAATAATAATGTTATGGTGACTGTTATTCACGGACTAAGATATTGATATATTGTAGTCCGTGGTTTTATTTATAGTTCTGAGATAACTGATAATCAGTTTACCAAATAATGGACACAAATCATTATCATGGTCATATACGTATAATATGTATCAATACTGACTTATGAAATATTGTTGTTCTGTGGTTTTATAAGGTGTATTTATAAATAGAATAAAATAAATGATAAATACACCAAATTATATTTTTATTATCTGGAGAGCAGTAATGACTGTAAAGACCGTTCACTGTTTACTCGTAACTCGTTCATTGTCTGTGATTGACGTTACAAAACGTATACGTTCAGTGTGAATAAAAAGGTTTAACTATAAAATCATTTAATTATTCTGCACATTTTGTACTTGTTTAATTATCTTTTAAAATTGTGTTAAAAATTGTCATTTATACTTTCATTATGAGCTCTTCACTATGCGTTTGTGGAAAAATTAAGGGTGATATGAATCACACTAATTGGTCGAGACATTTAGACTATTGCAAAAAAAAAAAGAAAAGTAAATGGAACAGCGTCTATTGTTAAATACTTTAAGACCAACTCTGCATCGATTGAATCAAATAATAAAGGTAAATTATTATCAACTAGTAAATATTAAAACAATGTTAAAAATATATTATACATATATCTAGGTACTTGTAATTAATTTATCCACAGTCCAAATGTGTGGTTTGTGTTGATTTTTTTATAAATATTTTCTTAAGTAGGTAGGCTTAAAATATTTTAATGATTTAATTTTATTTATATTTAACAGTTACAGATATTGTTCAATACTTGATATAGGTAATAAAAATATTGAGATAAGTCGATATCGGTCGGCGTCGCCGTGCCGAGTCGTTTTATCTTCAGTTTACCGTCAACTTTAGTGTAGACTCATTGTGGTGTTTTTTCAACTGTCAAATAGTAAATCCAAACCGTCTTTTGATTAAATATAACTGATGTGGTTAAAGTAAAAAAAATATATAAAAATAAAAAGGCATTGTGTGTACGAATCGTTAAAATACAATTTAAAATTTTCCTTTATTTTAACTAAATATTCTCACAAAGGTGCCTCGACATGGTCCTTGTCGAACCGGATTTATTATATAAATATTAAATACACGTAAGAAGTGTTAAAAGTATTAATGGTCAATCTGAAAATATAAAGCATCCGATTTTGATTTCGTGTCACCAACTCAAATGCCAGAAATTCAACTACTCAAGGTAAGAGAACCAAATTTCCTTAAATTTAGATACGTAATTCCCTGTTGTAGTTTCTTGCGCTAACACGGTGTGACAAAAATTTAATTGGTACAAAGTTCAAGTTTCACTGAAAGATTAAGAGTGTATAGGCTCTACTATAAAGGTCAAACATTGTCAACAGGTTTGTGACAATCTTTGTACGACCATATCAATAAATTATCGTTATACAGTTAATAGATTGATACCAATAATAGGTATTTAATAATTCAATGAGCCCTAATATCATGAACGATATAAACGCGTTATCATTCCGACGCGGGACAATAAAAGGGCAATTAACAAAGTTCTCAAATGCCGTCAACAATTTTTCTAAAGACGATGACTTAATTCAATTAATGGTTAAAAAAGAAAAAATTGAAGAAGGCTGGACAGAATTTCAAAATATACAGTCCACTATTGAACAAAAGTCCATTAACCCAGAAAATGAAGAATTGTACCGGGACGAATTTGAAAATTTATACTACACAGCCGTAGCTGGTTATATAAAACTAGTAGAAAAATACAAAAAGGTCGAAGGGCCGAGCTCGGTTCAGGTCTCAAATGAGATCGAAAACAATGCAGGTCAAAGCGTTTCGAGTGCGAGATCTAGTGTGAGCAATCAAGCCTCCATTGTGAAGTTGGCAGCTTTAAACGTACCAAATTTTAGTGGCGATTACAAACAATGGTCGACATTTAATGACATGTTTACTGCACTAATCCATTCAAACGAAGCACTCACAGATATACAAAAATTTTTCTATTTGAAATCGGCGTTATCTGGCGATGCCGAAAAGGTTATTCAATCGTACGAAACCTCGGCAAAAAATTATATAGTAGCGTGGAATTGCTTAAACGAACGGTTTAATAATAAAAAAATAATCGTCCAAACGCACACTAAAGCAATTTTCGATTTGGAACCCGTCACCAAAGAAAAATCATCAAAATTACGACAATTTATGGACTTATTGTCGGGACATATGACAGCACTCAAATCACTAGGTTACGACCCAAAAAATTGGGGACCAATGCTGTTACATATAATTTCGACAAAATTAGATGGTGCTACATTAAAAGAATGGGAAACACAAGCGCCAAAAAAGGAAGTGCCCGAAGTTGACGATCTGTTAACCTTTTTACAAAACAGATTTCAAATACTGGAAGCCGTAGAAGGTGCACAAAATATAAATTTAGCAGACACACAAAATAAGCAGAAATACAACAAAGTCGAAAAAGCAAAAAAAACTATATCCCATACTAGCACCAACAAATTTAAATGTTATTTTTGTAATGAAGGTCATCCGATCTATCGCTGTACGAAATTTCTCGCGTTGTCAGTAAACGATAGACTGCAACAGGTAAATAAATTGGACATATGCAAAAATTGTTTGTCTCGACACGCAGACAACAAATGTAAATTTAAAGGATGCAAAAAATGTGGTAAGTTACATAATAACTTACTGCACGAGCAAAATGACATAACGCCCGTACCGCCGTCATGCACCGTGACTACGCACGCGGCTCCGTCGGCGGACGTCTACGTATTGTTATCTACCGCAATAATACGAATATACGATAAGTTTAATAAACCTGTATTAGCAAGAGCGTTGTTGGACTCCGGATCGCAATCAAATTTTATAACAAAAGAGTTATCAAACAAACTCGGGCTAGCACATAAAAGCATTAATTGCGAAATAACCGGGGTAAACAAATCAAAAAGTTATTCCACGCACTCTGTACTAACAAAAATACAGTCGAGGTCAGCCGAAAATCAGTATATGTTAAATTTTCTAACTGTACCAAAAATTACAACGTTTCTACCAACCGAAAAAATAAACACGTCAAACTGGGACATACCACAACACATTCAATTTGCCGACCCGTCGTACGCTCAGCCAGGGAAGATAGATATTTTGTTAGGTGCCGAAATATTCTATGATGTTTTACGCACAGGTCAGTATAAACCTATTATAAATGGTCCCATGTTTCAAGAGACAGCATTTGGTTGGATAGTAGCCGGTCCCGCTAAGAGCGAAAATAATTGCACAGTGCATTCTTTCTTTCTAAACGTGACGCCGGCCAGGCCGAGCTGTTTTGACCTGAACGATAAAATTACCAAGTTTTGGGAATTAGAAGAAGTACCGAAAGAAATAGTTTATAGCTCCGAAGAAAAAATGTGTGTAGACCATTTTAACAAATCAGTAAAAAGAAATGGTGAAGGTAGATTTGTTGTTCGATTACCGTTACGCGAAAATATAAATACCTTAGGTGCATCGCGTTCAATAGCTTTAAAACGTTTTTTATCTTTAGAAAATAGGTTTCGATCGAATCCCAAATTAAAACAAAAATACGTCGAGTTTATGGAAGAATACGCGAACCTCGGTCATATGGAAAAGGTAAACCCAGGTGAAAAAGAAGAAAAGTCGTATTATATACCTCATCACGCGGTTTTACGCGATAGTAGCGCTACCACCAAACTACGCGTCGTATTTGACGCGTCGTGTGCAACCGATTCCGGAAAAAGTTTAAATGATTTGCTACTAAAGGGGCCAAACATTCAAGATGAATTAATATGCATTATTGCACGTTTCCGATCATATAAATACGTCATGTCGTCAGACATAGAAAAAATGTATCGCCAAATTTGGGTGTCGAACACCGATGCAAATCTTCAACGAATCCTATGGCGCTCAAAACCGGACGAGCCGATCACCGAATTCAAATTAAAAACAATTACATACGGAACAACGCCAGCTTCCTATTTAGCTACGGGATGTTTAATGAAATTGGCAGAAGAAATGCAAGAGTTATTTCCGGTTGCTCATAAAGCAATCACTAATGACTTCTACATGGACGATTATCTGGGCGGCGCTAACGATATAACGGCCGCCGAAAAATTGCGCGACGACGTTATCAATATTTTAAACACCGCCGGTTTCAAATTACGTAAATGGATTGCTAATGATCATCGATTATTAGAAAATATATCAAACGAGGACAATGACCCACTGCGCGTTCTAAATTTAGACGATAGCACTATAAAAACATTAGGTCTGTTTTGGAATCCGTCTGACGACGTTTATCAATATAAAGTAGACGATAATTGCAAAAACAATACAGAACGAATTACAAAACGTATAGTGTTATCAACGATAGCGACTATATTCGACCCACTTGGTCTCGTCGGACCCGTTGTCGTCGTCGCCAAAATATTTATGCAAAAATTATGGTTAGCACGTATAAATTGGGATGATCTTGTAAGTACAGAACTAAACGAAGAATGGCAAAACTATCAACAAACGTTGCCAGAACTTGAAGAAATCCACATTCCAAGATGGATAATTGGTTGTTCTAACGTCTTAGTCACACAAATACACGGTTTTGCTGACGCGTCAACAAGAGCATTCGGCGCGTGTTTATACACGCGGACTACAGACGAATTGGGAAATCACTATTCCAGGCTTATAGTCGCAAAGTCAAAGGTAGCTCCATTAAAAGTAGTCTCTTTAGCACGTTTGGAATTATGCGCAGCCGTTCTGTTAGCTCGACTAGCTGATAAAATAATACCGCGATTAAATATTACGATACACGAAAAACGCTTTTGGTCTGATTCAACCATAGTGCTAGCATGGATAAATTCGCCTTCAACACGTTGGAAAACATTTGTAGCACATCGAGTCGGTGAAATTCAAACGTTAACAGCTGCAGCAGAGTGGGGATACGTCAAATCAAGCGACAATCCGGCAGATATAATTTCACGCGGCTGCAGCCCAAAGCTATTAAAAGACAATACTTTGTGGTGGGAAGGTCCAGTTTGGTTTAAATCAAATGAAAATGAATGGCCTAAATCCTCGATCGACGAATTATCGCTGAACACCGAACTTCCGGAGAGAAAGCGTAAACCGGTAGCACTCCACTCGTCCACAAAGGAAGAATTTTATTTATTAAAAAAGTATTCGAACCTGAGCAAATTATTTCGAGTAACAGCGTATTGTAAGCGTTGGTTCGAACGCGCAAGAAATAAAAAAGTTAATTTCACCGACATCAAACTCGACGTCACCGAAATAGCTGCTGCACGATTAACAATAATAAAATTAGTTCAACAACATTATTTTTTCGAAGAGATAAAACTCATAAAATCCAAAATGTATATCAAAACAACGAAAATTGCATTACTGCGCCCTTTTTTAGATGAACAAGATGTATTACGCGTTGGCGGTCGCATTAATAAATCAACAACTATACATTTCGATCAGCGAAACCCGATATTATTACCAGCTAAATCAGAATTTACAGTAGCATTATTTCGTAACGAACACGAACGTCTATTACATGCTGGCCCGCAAGCGCTCTTATCGGCAATACGAGAAAAATTCTGGCCGTTAAATGGTCGTAATATAGCGAGGCGTACGGTGCACCAATGTGTTATTTGTTTTCGTTCAAAACCAGTTACGTACGAGCCGATCATGGGAGATTTACCACGCGATCGTATTGAACCGGAACGCGCGTTCAAAATATGCGGCGTTGATTTCGCCGGGCCAATTATGATTAAAACCAGTTTAAGGCGTAACGCACAAATGACAAAGGCATATATTTGCGTATTTGTCTGTTTTGTGACCAAAGCTATACACGTCGAGTTGGTCGGCGATCTAACTACGAACGCTTTTTTGTCCGCTTTACGAAGATTCTGGTCGCGGCGAGGAATATGTAATACAATTTATTCTGACAACGGAACCAACTTTGTTGGAGCAAACCGACAACTAAAAGAACTACGTGATTTATTTTTATCAAAGCAGCACATGGAACTTGTGCACAAAACTGTCACGGAAGTGGGAGTAAAATGGCAATTTATTCCCCCCAGAGCACCACATTTCGGCGGGCTCTGGGAAGCCGCCGTAAAATCGGTTAAGTATCATTTAATAAGACATTTGGGAAATGCTTTTTTTACTTACGAAGAATTGAATACCGTGTTAGTTCGCATAGAGGCTTGCCTAAACTCACGCCCTTTGACTCCCACGTCCTCTGATCCTAGCGATTTAAATGTATTGACACCCGGTCATTTTTTAATCGGTGGTTCTCTTACCGACCTACCGGAACCAGATCTTTTAAACATTACGCCAAACCTTCTCCGACGTTGGCAACGAACTATTCAGGTGACTCAGCAAATATGGTCGAGGTGGAGCACTGAATATTTAAGTCAACTCCAAGGTCGCTCAAAATGGGGTAAGTCAAAAGGTCCGCCGCTGAAACCAGACACATTGGTCCTGATTAAAGAAGACAATCTACCACCTCTACAGTGGGCAATTGGTCGAGTCACAGAAGTTTACCCTGGAAAGGATGGGGTGATCCGAGTAGCGTTGATCCGAACCAACAAGGGAGAAGTCAAGCGTGCCGCTCGTTCTTTATGTCCGTTACCGATAAAGGACGACAATTAATATATATATATAAGTACTAATTAGTAATAATTTAATAAAATTTATTTCTATTGTTATTTTTTTTTGTAATATGTATGAATTCTAAATTTAATTTGTAATATGTGTAAATATTTGTATTCATGTAAAAATTTTACGTCAGCGTAAAATGCTGGGCGATATGTTCAATACTTGATATAGGTAATAAAAATATTGAGATAAGTCGATA